TTTGCAGACTGGGAAACCGAGGCAGAGAAAAATTAAGCTATTTGTCCAGGTGTACATGGCAAACCATTTCTGCGATCTTCTGAACCAAGCCACGAAACCACTTCACAGCAGAATTCACAAGACAATGTTAGAGAAACAGATCAGAAGGAAGAACACATGCTCACTCCTCTTTGCCCTAGCCCTCAACCACCTCCTAAGCCCATTCAGCACACCCAGCTTGCTTTGACCTTTGCCCCTCCTAACCTAGCAAATAATTATTTTGGTTTGCATAGATTTTGCTTCTGAAACCTAATGTTTGACTTGCAAGTTTGCCCTGTGAATCAGCCTACCCACAGTGAACCAAGATACTCTGTTTAACCATTCCACTTGTTACTGTAATGATTCTAACTAAATGATTAGAGTTTTCCATAGGTGAACTATGGACCTGATATCATTTGTTTCTTACTATTACTCTGACTTTTCTATTTTCAGAATGTGACAATAACTGGAGACAGCCTCTGATATAAAGTTCTGAAATGTCCACCTCTTCCAGTCCTGAAAGTTCAAAAACATTCATCAACCTGTAGGGTTTTTAAACTGAATAGTTAAAGTCATTCCACTAACCTTTACGGTGTCACTAGAATGATTAAAAACCTGACCAAACAAAAAAACAAAACACATACACACACACAATCAAAACCAACAAACTCAACCCCTCAAATGTTCTCAAAGTGATTGTCTCTCTTTTTTTTTTTAAATTTTAATTCTTTTCTAAAAACAAACATAGCAGGCAAGTTCAAAGCTAGCCCTGTCCCATAAAATACCCTAGGAATATAGTTGTCCTTTTGGCCACTTTGCAACTTCAATTTAGGTTTTTCCATGCCCCTCCAACCACTTAAATAAAATATCATGCATATAGAATCTTCATGTACTCTTCTTCATCTCTGCATCAAAATTCTCAATACCACCTCATATCCTATAACCCTCAGATCCCATATCCCTCATTTGTTTTTCCAGCTAGACACAGAAAACCAATTAGTATCAAGATGCCATTTTCTCCCCTTGTACTGTAAAATGTATGGAGGATGTTACAGAATCAGTAAGACATAAAAGGCAGGAACACTGCACAGATTTATTTGTTAAAGGAACAATTCATGATCTCTTCTAGCACACATACCACAGGTTGGGGCTTACCTGTTGCTGCTGACTGCGCAGGTCTGTTATCTCTTTCTGATCCTCATCGTGAAGCCTTTTCATTTCCTCACATGACTGCTGGAGATGATTATGTTCTCGTACCAACTGAGTGTTTTTCCTCTTCAAGGTATCCATGTCCTCCTTCAGCTGTGACTGGTCACTCAGCAGTCGACTGTGCAATGTACTGTCATAACACCAAAAAAAATGCTCTTAGCGGCAAATTTGCAAGGACAAAGTCCTGGACTGATTCATATCAAGCCTGAGTTTCCTACCTAAAAAGCAGGTCAAACTAACTCAATTCTGCATATATGTGCCTTCCAAGCACCAGGAAAAGAAATTACAAACTAACAGGAATGTAAGTATGAAAATACACAGTAGTCTTAAAGAGTATCAGAAGATATGATGGATTTATGCCACCCATCAATCCCATTTCATAGCTGTTAGAAGCAGGCAGACAAACAGAAATGGTGTAGTGGAAACGTAAGATGATCCTGGAGATAATAGGAATGATCCCACTAAGCTTCACTTTCTCTCAGGCCCCTCAGCTGAGCAGCAGCTACCCAAAACACAGATGAAAAGTACAAAGATCTCCTTGTGTGCTACTGTTTTAAAAACAAACAAAATCCCCAAAACTATGGAAAACCCCTCACAACCAACCAAAACACACCATGTACATTTCAACTACATTCAAGCAGGTATAAAGCTGTGAAGGTTCCTCCTAACTTCATTATACAAGCCATAATTATTGAAAGAAAAAGACTCTCACATAAAAATTAACTGAGAGCCACATGAGGAGGTTATTGTTCAGGTTATAATTCAAGGTACCAGTCCAAAATTAGACCAGACCACTGCTGTAGAAGAGCAGGTAAGTCAACTCAATATATTTTACAACTGCAGATCAAATCAAGTGTGACTTTGAGACACTGACAAGTATTTTTATTGTTGAAACAGAACAATTCTAACTGAACTCACACTTGCTGGTAAAATATTTAAAGTCCCTATTCAGATTTTAAAAAAACAAAACAAAAACCCAAGCAAAAAAACCCCACACATCAATGAATAGAACTAATTTACATTCTAAGATATTTTTTATTCCTTCCTTATGAAGTGAAATATCAACATTTCCTGCACAGAATGGCCCAAAGCATTAAAAATAATAGCACAATCTGTTAAAAAAGTGCATTTTGACAAATTATAATCACACAATTAAGCCACCTAATCTTTAGATGTAGGTCATTAATCTGCTATTTGTTACTCAGATTCTGTTGGAAATGATAAATTCTCTGGAATGCAAATTTTTTAAAGCATGGGGTTTTAACAATTTCTGCAGGAAAAAACATTTGAATTTAACCTGTGTTAAAATGTACACAAATCCTCATGAGAGCTATCACAATCCATTAAAAGAGTAAGAAATTACATTCTCTCAGATTACATTCTGCTCTCTAGACTGACAGTAGAACTATTAGATTGCCATTTCAAATCAGTAACCAGGTTTTCCTTTTTGATCCCATCATGACATCCAAGGATTTCTATCTCAAATTCCTAAAAGCAAAACAAGCAATCCATACTGTATCATTTCAAATGAGCCAGAAATGTTTTATCTGATGTAGACAAGCATTGATTTTGCAATTAAAGTGGAAAAACAACATTAAAAAATTACTTCATTACCATGTTCTAATACTTTTTGATTTAGCACAGACTGGTAAATTCTTACCTTGTACAGCTTTATTAATACTTACTGATAAAAATCTGCCTCTTTTGCTGCTTCTTCACACCTTTTTAGTGTCTTGGTGTGTTGATTCTGCAGAGACTGTAGGTCTGACATGGCCTTCATGCACTGAATCTTCAGTCGTTCATAATCATGATTTGGTTTTGGACTAGGCCTAGCATGGAAAAAAACCAAAGTCAAACATTGGCTACCAAAGTCAATGTAAAGTCTGGGAAATTACTATCCGATAAAAAAAATAAATCCTATCACACAACTGTTGATACTCAGCCTATATTATGCTTTAATTTAAATACTAACCCATTTGCATTAAGATGCAACCACAAATAAAAAGTCACTGACCAACCTGTATTACTTTTATACTGAGATGTCAACATCTAACAATGGGATCATTAACACAGCCGAAAATACTATTGAGTGTGCATGTACCTCTCTTCTGAGCAGCAGTATTACCACAGAACAGAACTGCCACTTGATACTGGAACAGCTCCATCACAGCACACTCAGCTTTCCTGTGCCACCACGTCACACTGGGTAACAAAGCACAGAGCTGCAGTAAGAGTGGGGCTGAAAAGAGGCTGCCACAGTTGGGGTGCATGGAGACCTGGGCTAAGAAAAGCTTCTCAGCAGCAGCTGGAGGACCTTGTCTATAGCTTCCTAGGAAAATCAGGATTAGGGTTGAGAGAAAGACTTCCAGTGGGATGCCAAACGTGCACATCTGTGCTGGCAAAATTTGACCAGTTTGACTAATGGAGCATTGATTTAAATAAATAATTTGACCAAGTCACTCTGCTGAATTACATGCCTGATTGTGTGCTACCATAAATGAATGAGAAAACACGTCAGAATTTGCTTCACATTTCCATAAGGTAACCTAAATTTTGTTCAAATAATTATTAGGAATCTTTGATACAATATAATTTCCAACAAGCAGTTTTCAGTAAACTAAACAAAATGAATGCCAAATCAGTCAAAAGAAAGATTTTGACTCAAATTTCTTTTAGTCTATCAGGATGATTGTGAGAGGAAAATTTTTCTAAACTAATCTCCCTTGTCAAGCAATTCACCAACACAGATTGTGTGTAAAATGCATCATCCTCATACACGATACCTTTGTTTGTAGGTTAGGATTCATTAAATTTGCACAGCACTCTAAAAACTAAATTAGCAGGATTATGCCTTCTTGTTTTGAAGCACTAAGCTTCTGAAAGAGACTAAATTGAACTGTTCCTCTTCCATAAAGTCACAGAATTTTTGCACCACTGAATCTCCTAGTTTCAAAATGAAGCTTCTGACAGCTGTCCCTATGTCATCTCCTGGGTCTCTGATATCACCACAGGCAGTGAAAAAAACAAAAACAAAACAAAAAGCCAAAGCCTCCAAAAGAAAATAATTGCTTTCTAATTTAACTCGGCTCATTCTTGTATCAGATTTGCTCCACTGCTGCACAGATCACTCTTCCTCCCTCCCACCTCACACTCTCCCAAATGGCTTCTCTGTAAGCGCAGCCTGAAAAGCAATCAGAATTTTTTTTGCTTCACACAAAAACAGCAACATGGATTCTGGAACTGAAATGCAGCTGGCAATTACATCAAAATGAAAATGGTTTCACACTACAGCAGTGGTGAGAGTTGTTAAAAAAATAAAAATACATAAAAAAAGAAATGCCAACCACATCTGGTTCACAAACGTTCAGGGGGTGTGTGTATATGGTATGAGGTACGTTATGGCAACCCATTTGAATTTTGGTTGCTGAGTAATGAAGCCTTCAATTTTCTCCTTTCTTCAGAGAAGTGTTTCTGGGGAAAACAAAACAAAAACCCCTTCCTTGACTGACAGACATTGCCAACAATTAGAAGTCAAAATAATATAAAGTAACCAAATGTTCAAGCCACATCTACAGGGATGTCTTATAGGGCACTTTTAAATTCTTTGTTTAGGAGTGCCAAATGAAGTAGTAGATTATTCATACAGTATTACAGACATCACTGCAACTACCACAGTGTTATTCTGTTAAAACATAAACCTAGTTAGTGTAAGTTAAAATCAATTTGAAATGTTCACACCCTTGACAGAATCACTAAAAACCCAAGTATTGATTTAAATCAGACCTTAGGGTAAAATTATTGAAAGTAGACACCATCTGTCCACCACAGTCCTTAAATGACAACATTAATTGAAGCAGAGTTTAACTCTCAGTTGTAACATTAAGCTTACTAAGACCCATTAACACATCTTCATATTGAACTATTAGATCTGTCTCAAAGTTATGGTGAAACATGTTCTACAAGTCTAACATCCATCACGTGTATTTCACATATTGCTGAAGCAACACTAATACCATTCTGAAAAGAACAGTAAACCACAAATAACACCACCACCATAAAATAACCCAACAAATCACCTATAAACATATGGTGACCATGTGGGTAACTATACAAGTTAGACTACCTATACATTGAAGAAGGACAAACAATGCCATCAGCAACATCTTGCATTCTAGCTCATCTACATCAAATAAAAAACACATGGATATCCAAGGCCATATGTTCCACAGTGCTGTTCCAAGGCTCTATGTCTCAGCAAGAAAAACAGGAATACAGAAAGGAGTATTGGTCAGAAGTCAAAACTCAAAACCGTTGCACCAAAACAGTCCATTCAAGCACATGTAGTGGTTGACTCTTGCTTAAGCAAGACCACTACATTTTTATGCTAAAATGCCTCACAAAATACAGAAAATTATGATTAACATAAAGAAGAGGTATCACAATTACTATTTTGGAAGCAATGGTTCAACTTGAGCATACAAATTATTTGGTCAAATCTTTGCTTAATCACCACAACATGTGCACATATATAGTCACTGTCAAGCAACAAGCACAGCATGAGCAATCCTACTCCTGTCCAGCAGGATGGCACATGTTCATCTGATTCACTGCATCACAGTCCACTGTTGTGGTTCTTCCACTGCTATAGACTTTGTCCACATTTGCTTTGGAAAACAGCTCTCGGTTTTGTAATGACAACCTTTGCAGCCAGCACAGCCCAGACTACCCATGTGTTGTGAGCTGCAGCTGCTCTGAAGCACACCTTCATGATGTGTCAGGATTTGCCTCTGCACCACCTGTGTTTGGTACAGCCATAGTTAAAACAGCACACACAGCCAGGAAAATAAAGGCAAGATAGTAAAAGTCACTATCCACATAATGATCTCTCAGCTTCCACATTTCAGCATTAACAGTTTGCTATGCCTGGGGTTTTACTCTTGGAAGGGTAAGGATTAGCTTTATATGAATAAACAATGCAAAACAAATACCAATAAGATTTCAAAAACCATAGATGTGGATGGGAGGAGCAGCTGTTTTGACATTCAAGGGAAAAAACATCAACTAATAATCTTCATTTCCCACTCATCAGATATTTGATTGTTTGGGAGCCAGCATTCTCCATCTAACACATTGTCCAAGAACTGCCCAAATACAATGTTTATTTTGATGAGTTGCTCTTGAAGCTGTAAACATTTATGCTTTCTACACATAAAAATCCTACACTGAAAGCAAAGGATTGATTTGACAAATAAAGAGAAAACTAGGACAGTCTAGAGGACAGCTCATCAAAACTTTATTAATAGTATCTTGGATTATGCAGAAGATTATTGGGAGCTATAAAATCCTCAATGCCTAAGCTCTAGTGACTTCAAATAAGAAATCCCTCTATATAAGTAAGTAACTGGAAGCTATGCAAAAGATGCTGACATTTGACAATCTTCCTCTATCATGCTTCAAGACCACTAGACAGAACACAATGCTCTTAAAGTAACCCTCAGAACTCATGGGGGAAAGAAGGGGATGTCAAGATGAGTAGCTATTGGAGTGAATAAAATGCCCAGATTCTTTCAATTCCAGTTCACTGGTTCAAATCTTGACCATATTCCGTAAGGACAAAAAAATTAATTAACCACCTGACCACATATATATAGAGCTGATTAAGTAACAGACACAAACAACAAGAACAATAAAACATCTAAGTTCAGAGAAGCTATGCATCATGGCAACACCTCCCAGAAAATCTGTTCTGTGCTTACTTCAAATTCAGTGACAGACAATTGCTTTCCAAGATTCAAAAATATTTTCACACGTGCTTACTGCAGGCAAAAAGTACCTGTTCAGTGTACCCAGTCACATACAGCAGATCTCTAAGCAGCTAACACAAATTAATTCTATTTCCTACCCAATAAATTCCTTATTTACAACTTAGTCATAGTCTCTCTGAGTACTATCCTCCTCATAACCTCAAATTAGAATGAGCCACATAGGGAGGCTGAGCAATAACTGACTTTGAAGACGTTACTTTAATTTTATAGCACCCAGAGCTTCTCAGTGGAGGAGAGTTCTTTACTATCAACACATTTATGCTACACAGTTCCCCAGTATATGTATACCAGAAAGTTTAACTTCTAAAAAAAAAACCCAAAACCTTACTCCATTCAACAGAAATCCAAACCTCTCTCTCCTTGCAGAAGCATAGGAATAGCTGAGATTATTTCTACTCTCCTCATTTCTGTCATGCAGCCAAGTATTCAGAGTTATTTTCCTTTTTGTCTCCTGCTTTCAAAACACCAAATGCTTCAGCCACTGCTTTCTTTCTCTTTCCACAACAAAACCCAGGAAGCCTAAACAACTTGCTTGCTTTCTTGCCTTCAGCATAAAGATGAACCCTACTACCCTCATGCCCACAGCAAAATTGTTGGAGAAAATTGGAATAGGCATTGAACAGGCAGCTCTGAAACGTGGACATGGTCACCTACACACACACACATCACCAGGATGCAAGTAGATTACAAGCAACATATATACACTGCAATATCCTTAATGCTTTACTGGCAAGCAGGAGTCAAGACATTTGAAAACACACTGAGGACTAAATGAAAATGTTACATTTCCTTTATGTTTACCTGCAGTCATCAAAGGTTGATCCAGGAGATGAAAGTGCAAGTTGCTTGCGCAGCTCATCCCTCTCTCGAGTCACCTGACGGAGCTGATATAATATAGTCTCCAGCTTCTCACTCATCTGTCTTGTGTCTATTACAGGTGGTGGAGATGATGCTTTACCAGTTGTACCTGACAATGAGATAAATAATTGGCAGTGAGAGAACTCCTCAAAATAACAATACAACTTCAGTAAACAAGTTCACTCATTTTAAAATCCTGTATTTTTGGTTGCAGAATCCTGTACAAAAATTAAACAAGTCACAGTTGTCATCAGTGAGTTGACAGAAGAATAACTCCAGTCAGATCTCATGCTATCAGAAAGGCACTGTGTTGCAAATTAAGTTTGCATGATTAAGTTCCTTGTTTACTCATGAACTTTAAAGTTGCCTAAATGGCAAGGCAAGCTTGAAGTCACAATTACAAAGACCTCAGAAACTACCACAGTCACAGAAATCATAGATAAAAAGTTATTTCCAATAAAGGACTATGTCCCTGCTTCTAAAAGAAGCATAAATTGCATCCACATCAACTTACTACAGCACAGGGGCTCTTTTTCTTCATCTAGCAGCACAGACACATTATTCTGCCATATGCTACATTTAGTTTTAATACAATTCTATACTTTCACATGTCACAACTTTTCAGTCCAGTACGTGAAGTTAAAAGATTTGACTTGCCCACACATCATGAGAAACAGGCTTCATTTTTACCAACATTGGATAGCATAAGCACATTACAATCACTGCAACTGGACTACTCATCAAATTTCCTCTAAGGGGCAGTCATACATTAAAGTGTTTAGTGTGATTTATTTGCAGCTTTCCTAATAGCAGAGCTGAATGATGAGGTCTAATGTCTTCTCAGACAAATGTACCGATACAAAGCAGTTGTCTTCTACCTGAGAGATGAGTTGGTCTATTGCTTCATAATATGCTGACAATGAATTAAACTGTTATTTTAGTTCTCATTTAAAATTAAGTTGTAAATTCAGTTCTGCTCACGTGTGTCTCAGACTAAAGATACAAGTCACAGATCTGAATGTTAAAGGCCTAAATGCATACAGAGTAATATTTTCTACCCAAAAGAGAAATTCTAGAAATAGTCTGCATAATTAGAGAACTGAAACAAGTTGCTAACATATACATTAACTTCTTAGGATGTACCTTTATCATGCTTTTATTTTTAATTTTATTTAAGAGACAAAAGACAGAATAGTAAAATAATGGTCTCTGATCACTGTCTTTTCAAAGAAAGACTTGCACGCAAAATTATTTCACTAAATCAAATGTTAATTAGTTGCAAGGATTGGCTTTTCATCTCTAAACTCAGTTCAGGAAGATACTGCAGAATGCAAAAACTCCCTACAGCTTTTCAACAGAACCACCTGTGCTTTAAAGTTCCCATGCCAAAATAACTGCAGCATCAGGGCTATGATACATACAGCATCTAGAAGGATCTAATCTGATCCCTGTTTTTATTCCTTTCAGCTGTTACTGTAACTCTGTAAAGAGAATTTATGAGCAGAAACTGTTCTTTTAATCTAATAATGTGTGTAAATGCTCTGATAACAAACTGAAGAAATCAAAAAATTGCAGAAAGGACCTGCATTCTGTAGAAAGACACAAACTCACATCACTCAGAAGAATTCTCAATGGAGGCTGCATTTGGACTTTTCCTACTACTTTATTTCAGTCCTCCATCCAGATGAAGACCCTTCACCAAAAAAACTAAGGATTTCACACTTCTAAAATGCAATTATCCTTTCTTTTTCTAAAATGAGAAACATTCTACATAATTGTTATGGCAAGTTTATATAGAAACCAGTAATAATACAAATACACTGTCCTAGGCTCCCTGTATAAGGATTAAATGGGGAAATTGACTGGGAAAAAAAGCCAGAATATGTATCCATTTGGAATACTTTGGACATACCAATAAGCAGAGAATTTCATAAAGAAGATAAAAAGTAAAAGCAGAGAAACCAAATTCAGGTACCGACAGGCTGCAAGATCTTTGGTAAATTCAGTGGCAACTGCACATCATCATCCCATTTGAGCTGACAAGTCAGAGTATGTGTGTCAGTGCAAAAATCCCCTTCTCATCCTTACAGAGAAGTTCAAAAGCTTTTGTCATTTTGGGACTGCTTGCAAGCAAAACAGATGAACAGGATGCGAGAGGTCAAGATGAAGGAGGAGATAAATCAGGAAGGCTGGTGTGCTTTACATGGACAAAAGGGCATTGGATTACCAGCAGTCCAGCACTAATATCAGCATTAACCCCAGCAGCAGTCCCATGGACAATGTCTGCTAAGCAAGTCCTGCACAAGCACTGGCTGCCCTGGGAATCTTTAAACATAGTAAAAGCAGGCCAGATATATACCTCTGCTCCTCTACCTCTTTCTCCCCCCGCAGCTTTGACAGCATCTTAATGACAATCTTCTTCAGGCAAGGAGAACATTTGTGCACACAGTCCAAACACTGTGCCAAGCAAGAAAAGTCTGCTTTAAATAAAGACAGGCTAATTAGCCTTAGGAAAGAAGCTTTCCTCACTAATGTGAAGCCACTTGTCTTAGTACCAGGAAAGGTTATTTTTCATTAACTTGTCAATTTTAACAAGAACATCAACAAATACTTTCATCTCAAATGCCATAACACTGTTGATGGATAATACCAGCCAAGAGATGTATGCCTATTAAGTGCTGTAAAAACACAGATCAATATGGTACACTTCTTCCCACTCTTACCCTCAAAAAGAAGTCCAAAAAGTTTATCTTTGCTCGGTTTACTAACAACTTTACATTTTCAATAATTGTACAAAAGGTCTCAAAGATTAAATCAGATTTCTGGATGCTTAAAATCAAACATACACCTTCAGTTAACTCCTCTTTCATCAGAAATAATCAGTATTCTTCATTTCCTTTAAAGGAGCCTTTATAGCTGAATGCTAAAATCCTTTTAGTGCAGCTGACATCTGATGCAGAAGAAGCAAAGTGACTTGTGATTCCAGCTTTGTATTCTTTTTCCATCTGACTGCAAATTTTACACAAAAGTACTTCCTTTCTGCACTTTAACAAGTCAAACTGGTCTTAAAACATAAAAGCCTAAAGGCTAAATCTCCATTAGCCATATTATGCCACTTTCCAGTAACTCACCTATTTTCACAGACAACCTGGACTTCTGAAAAGGCATTTATTGCATATCTTGCCAAGTGCAACTCATTCATCTGCTTTGGTGAGCCTCACAACTCATTTTTGATGCAAGCTGCACTTGGGCTCTGAGAACTCAACCGTATGGAGTCACCTGGCCATGCTCCAGGTAAGCAGTGCTCCACCAGCTCCTGAAAGAGCCAAGAGCAGGGATGCATCGTGTGGGGAGAATGCACTTTGCCCATAATGCAGTAAATGCATTAAGCCCTGAGCGTGCACTTCATCTAAACTAAGATTTTGCAGGATTTCCACCATATGTTGTATAAAAGAAAAGTCTTAAAAACAGATGCTGGAGCAATCATATCTTCCATATTATAGTCCAAATTCTGGACTTGATAGAAACCACAAAGATCCTTTACTGTAGCATATGCCAAATACAATTCTTGATTACTCTAATCGACAATGACTGAAGAGATATGTCCACACAGAAACTACTGCTTAGCTTCATATTTGGGGATGGGGTAGCATATTTTTTGAAGAACAAAAGAACATTTCAAGAGAATCAGAACTGGAAAACTCGTTAACCTGACCAAGATGTACCACAATGCCAAATGAATATAATGTTGAGGTGGGAAAATGGGTACCAATGCACAAACAGCTACTTATAAGAAATACCATTAAAATATTTTGAGTTATAATCGACTCATTAGTCTTTGAGAAATACACTTGTATGACAGATTCAACGAATTCAAAAGACAATCTGTCACAGGCTAACAGAATGCCTGATAATTTTTAAAACTCATGTTATAAATTTGTGTCATTTTTTGCTTGAAAACAAACAGGAGACTACTGATTGTACAGTCAAACCTTTTTCACTGTTTTCCTTCACAAAAAATAAAATTAACAGGGATGTTCAGAATATTATTTCTTTATGGCCCAGTAAATCAGGACAGACAATGTTAAAAAATACTTGCAAGATATACTGCAAAGCATGATCAACAGGGCTTCTCCCCAACCTAGGGAAAGGATGGGGAGTAAGGCCTTATGCCTGCTGCAGGAAAATCCATTCTAAAATATTTACTTTCATTCAATAATTTATGAGGACTAGAACAAGACTGAGTATCAGAAATAATCATTTAGATACCTTTCTTGAAGTCTGTATTTTGAAGTGGTCTTGAAGCAGCAGAGAGCACAAAACAAAATTGCATGCAGTTAAAATAAAACAATAGTCAAAACAAGCAGCAGTACACTGAGGAAAGGAAACTGAAAGGTAAAATAATGAACTGTGGAAATAGTTTCATCTGAGAGACAGAAAACCTAATAGGTTATGAAAGCATTGAGGATCATGTAACATGCAAGAACAAAAGAATGGATAGCACTTCAGTATATTGTTTTAATGCAGAATATAACAAGCTAAACAAAGCCACCAGCATCTAAAACAAACCTTCAATTTCAGTAAGTTTAAGTCTTTATAGAAAGCACTTTACAGTGGTTCTAGAAAGATCAACATGAAAGAAAATCTACAACCTAATACTCAAAAATAGAAAAAGGGGTGGCAAAGGGCAGATAAATCAATTCAAAATGTCTTTGCAGAATTTTGCTGAGCTAAAATACAACAGAGAGTAAAATCTGTTACTGCAAACCAGCAAAAATACAACTGATGCTTCTAGGTTTGAATATATGGTAGCTCCCTGTCTCAGATCCTACATCTGTCAGGTTTACAACTGCAGGCTGAAGGCATAACCTTCACAAGAGTGTCCAGTCTGAACCCAAGGGGGACAGTGACTATGGTCAACCACTGCACACCAACCAAGGGGATGAGATTCCTCCAGTGCTTGGTCCTTCACATCTTCTGCAGAAGTTGTGAGCATTAGGTCAACTACAGCCCCAAAAGAAAACTGTGGCCAAAAAAAGGATTTCCTAACTGCATAGACTGATAAAGGGCTTCAGGGAGTAATGAAAGACACCACGTTCCAGAGGTGCT